CAAGGAAGTGCTTGGTGTTTGATCCTCCCCCAGAAGCAGAGGTCTGGCTGGACTCAGTAGAAGTGGCCTCTCATAGTACCAGGCTAGAGGTTTGTCAGCTGTTGTGAGCCTGAAACATGCAAAGGCTGCAGGTGGCTCCAGTGCTTCAGGGTTGGATTTGATTTTTTTGTTGTCTTCTCCTCCAGAAAGCAGCATAGCAGTTGGTTGGCAGCAGGATTTGTTGGGGAAGAAGGGCTTGTCCCAGCATTCAGTGCTTGGTGCAGCAGTCTAGGATCCCTTCTCAACTGTTTGCTGATCACAGAGCTTTATAACAGAAGGTGGTGTTTTATCCTCTGGGCATCACTGTTGAACCAAAAGCTTCCAAATACAAGTGAAAAACTAGTTGGTGTCAGGTGCCTTTAGTTGGAAGTGCCAGTATGGAATGTGTGTCCCAAAGATCACTGTGGGAGAGTGAGGGGTTCCTGATGAGCTCCTCTTCTCAGAAGTCACAGACTGGCTGGGCCTAGATCAGCTCTAGTGTCATTCCTGCTTTAAAGTCTCAGGTCCAGCAGGCTGGGCTGGGCTGGGCTGGCAGGTTTTCACCCAGGGTATGTGCTCTGTCCTTCTGCATTGTGCTGGCTTGGATTCAGCAGTGTGGCCCCTGTGACAGCTGTGTTCACATCACAGCTGCTCCTCTGCTTCACTCACTGGGCTTTAGCTGAGTGTTCAGGAAGGTGAGAAGGAGGGACAGCAGTCAGGAATGGGCCATGCTGCGGCCATTCTGTCTTCATTTCTCAAACTGAGGGTAGGAGATGCTGCTCAAGGGACTCTGCCTTCCTCGGAAATCACATGGAATTTGGAGAGTTGACTCCTACCAGGACCCCAGCAGCAGTGCTGTGGTGCCATTTCATCCATGTTCTCCTGAGCACAAGGGTGGCTTAGCAGTACTTCAGAGTCAGGCCCTGCTGAGGGACCTCAGAGCTCTTGGCATTTTTTTTCTCCAGCAGAGCCAGCCTTGACACCTGAATCACTGGGCCTGGATGCCAAACACAGTGAATCTGAAACCCCAAATACTTGAGACGTGTTCCTGGAAGCCATGAGCAGCTGGTGCTCAGCAGCCAGAGGTCTCACACCAAACCTTTCTTCTCCCTGGCTGCCCCGAGCCCTGTCCTGCCTGCTGCTGGCTCGGCCTTGGTCCCCCCATTCCAGAGCATGGTGGCTCTCCCTTTGCAGTGCATTTTCATGGCTGGCTGATCCCACTCCAGCCAGCTCTTCCCTGTGTCTTATTTGCCATCGTATGTGGTCTTTGCAAATTGTATCATATTGTACATGACTTCGGGTTTCCAGAGTTGTAGTATTCTGACTACAGTATTTCTGTGTGTGTACATAAACCTGAATAAGCACAACTGAAATCCTGAATGAAGTGTATACGTTTCATATACTGATTGTCATACAAATTAATTTTATAATTATTCCAATTTTGTTGTAGATTTCCAATCTTTCCTATTTATTTTGTACCAGATTTATTTGTATATTTTGTGATTTTGTTTTAAAGCATTTTGTTTATTTCTATTCTTTTTAGATAAATGATGATTTTTTTTTTCTGTTGAACATTCCAGTTTATGCATTTTTCCCTCCTCTATGTTCTCCCCTCATTTCCAAGGGACAGATTTTGGCATGTGGGTGGTGGGGCTGATGTCTGTGATCCTGTACCCAGATCTCTCCTACTGGCACATTTAACAGTCTTTAATCTCCACTTCAGCTGCCGAGAGCTGCAGAGAGGTTGGATCTTGTTGCTTTAGAGGCAGGTGTTGCTCTTCACTTTGGTGGGTCTGGGCCTCAAGACCAGAGGACTTAACCTCTGCAAGTCCTCAAGCTGGGGAGGGCTGTGCTGGTGGCTTTGCTGATCAGGGGCTGGCTGGGAAGCTGGTGGCAATGGCAAGCAGCTGACTTTTTGAAGTTCCCTCAAGGGTGAGGGTCTTTTTCTTTCAGTAATAAAAACCCCTTATTTACAACCTGCTCTCCGTAGGTCATGTTTGTCTCTGGGCACAGATGCCGTCTGTCTATCTGTCTGTCTGTCTGCAGCGTGTGTTCCTGCCCTCGGGCCGTGCCCGGGGGTCTCCACTGAGGGATGTGGCTGGGGATGACGGTGGCTCCGTGGGACAGGAGAAGTTTGGTGGAGTGAGTCGGTCCATCCCCCTGCACTTGGGTGCTGCCGCCTTCTCCCCTCACGCCGGGGTTTTGGCAGTGGAGCTGTGTGGGGCCTGCAGCAACAGAGACATTTCTGGGCAGGAGAGCGAGCCTGTGCTTAGTCCCTTGCCCACCTTCACTTCCAGCTCACACTGGTGGAGGAACAGCCCCTATGCTGTGTGTCAGATAGAGCCCTGCCATGTGCCCTTACTGTGCTTCTGCCGTCTCAGCCCCTCTCCTCTTCACAGCTGTTCCACCCAGCTGCTCTCCCTGCCCCCCAGCTTTTGTCATGCTCAGCTCTCGAACTGCCAGACCCAGGGTCAGCAAGATGGGCAGCAGCTGCTCAAACCTTGTGGGGATTTTTGCTGCACCCAGTGCAGCCTCTGTCCCTGCTTCTGTGCTGCAGGATGGCCCCATCCCTCTGGACCTCGCTCCCCCATGATGTATCAGCAGGACAGAGAGTGGCAGGTCCTTGAGGACTCCTGCTCCCCTGTGTGTGCTGGAGGGTGATGGGGTGTTACATGCACGATGGAAGCAGAATTAATGTGGAGGCCGGCTTCAGCGCTGGCTCTGGTGGTAATGAGCAGCAGGAAGGAGGAGCAGGATAGAGAGAGCCCAGGACCTCTGGAAGGGAAGGGTGTAAGAGGCCAGGTCCCTTCAGGGAGGTGAGATGGGCTTTGGCTGCTGGGTCCAGGCCGTTGTGGCAGCAGGGCAGGAACAGTGCCCAAAGCTGTACCCAGAGCTCTGTGTCCTCAGGGCTCCAGAAGTACCTCCTGCCATGGCCAGGCTCTGCAGCCTAGTGGCCCACAGGGCTGATCTGGAGGGAAAGCACCCTTGTGCAGGGCCAGGGTGGACCAGTGGCTCTGTGGTTACAGAATTTCTTTATCCATGTTTGTTGTGCTGGGGCTTCAGGCCGGAGGTTGGAATGGCTGCCGCTCAGGGACTGGCACAGGGCTCTGCACCCTCCATCATGGTCGGGCATATCCTGATACAGAGTGCAGCTGGGCCTTGCTCTGCTGAGTGAGGAGGTGGCACAAAGGAGGAGGAGCTGGGAGCAGGTCAGAAGTGACAGTGCCCAACACACGATGAAGCCTCAGTGAAGCGAAGCGCAGTGAGCCTTGGGTTCCTGTCTCTGGTAGGGAGACAGGAGCCCTCTGGTAGAGTTTGGTTTGTGCAGCCCCTGTGAGCCCCCTCTGGCTCTGCAGGGAGGTGGATGTGAGGTGCTGGGGAAAGTGGGAGAAACCAGAAATGGGGTCAGTGAGAGCTCGGGACAGGGGCTGAGGCCTGTTCCCCCCATGCTCGCCTTGCTTCCACCAGGCTTTTGCTGCAGGAGACAGTACTGCTGGTGGGCAAAAACAAAGCCTGTCTGTCCCTGGGCTGGGGGACAGGTTGCAGAGAGAGCAGCAGGAGCTTTCCCTGAGGCTCTGCAGAGTGATTGGAGGCACAGGTGCTGCCAGGCCACCAGCTCCTGATCAGCTGGTGCAGATCAGCCATGGGCAACTGCCTGAGGGAGGTGTGGGCTGGAAACTTGGGCTGTGACCGTGTCCCCAGTGCCAGCCAGGGCAAGAAGCTTCACCCTGGCTCTTGGTCCATGCTTACCACAACTTCATGGTGGAGCCAGCACAGGATGGGTAGGATGGTACAAGGCCAGGCAGTGCCTATGCATCTGTCAGGCTTTGCCCGACATTTTCCCACCATGAAGTGAGGGGTCAAATACTTTCCATTGCTCCAGCCTTGAAGACTCTTCTCCCCATCTCAGTCAGAAATAGCCCTGGGCTGGGAGTGAGCTATTTGTGGTGACTGATTGGGAAGGAGGAATGCATGGAGCTCCCCAGACCTCCCTTTCTGCAGCCACATGCCTCCCCCAGCTGCTGAGCTAAAGCTTAAAAAATCCAAGTAGCTATACTTGGAGAAACGAAGTTTAAACATAGCAGAGCCCAGCATGGCCTTAGGTGAAAGGGCTCAGGATCAGCTCCCTGGAACCCTTCCTGCAGCCAGCCTCACTGTGGGTAGATGTTAGCTCCTCTCCAGACCCCAAAACAGGTCAGGGACCCAGAGATCTGGAGTTTTCAGCGATCCCTGAAGTGTCAGGTGTTGAGTGTTGGCCATCAGCTGTTGCCATTCAGTATTGCTTTTGTCTGGCACTTCGGGCCCTGGTACTGAATATCCTTCTGTGGTGGTGCTGATGGGGGAACCTCCTGAGATCTGGTTTGGTTGGCATGAGGAGTTGGTTTGCAGGGGAGGGTTGAGCTCAGCAGTGCCCAAGGCTGCCTGTCTTAGCCAGGCACAGCCTTGTGTGGCTGTGTGGCAGCACTGGCTTTCACTGGGTATTCTTGTCTATTTAAGCAGGTTTGCAGCTCCAGGTGAGCACAGCCTGTGCTGTGCCCTGCTGCCACCCTGGCCATGTGTCTTGCAAGGACAGAGGGGCAGGAAGTGATCCTTGGTAATGTCTGTGGGAAACAGCCCTAGCAAGATAAGGTTGGAGGTAGTGGCAGTGTAGGGATGTTCCCCTTCCCACCATGAAAAAGCCCCTCCTCACTCTGTGTCCAAGATAAAATGTTTCTCTGCCCTCTCCATTCTTTCCTGGCTGATGCAAATGGTGGTAACAGAGCCTCACCATTGCTTCCTGGGGCAATGTGAGGATGAGGTGCGCCCTTACAACAAGATCCACTGCTCCTCAGTGCTTCACACAACTCATTCCCAAAGATGCTCTCACTGTTCCCCAGTCACCCTTCCTGCTGGCACCCCACAGACCAGTCCCATCTCTTTCCACCAACTCCAGCACAGCTCTCATCATCTCAGCAACACCCCACAAAGCACACCACTAAGCATTTCTTAGAAACATCATTTATTGACTTGAACAACTGCCACTAGAGCAGCATTTTCCTGCTCAGATGTTGGTGTTGCGGTTTTTCTTCTTTTATTTTCTACTAAGGTACTTTAAAATGAAAAAAATTAAATGAGTTTATGGTACTGAAACAACAGTCAAATGCATTACAAGAGGGCCCTCGTTGTAATCCCTTTGCAGCGAACGGCAGAGGCTGGAGTAAGGGAGGCTGCACCCGACTCAGAGGAAAACCACAGGGCGCTGCTGCTGTGTGCCAGCTCCGTGCCTTCCCTGGGCTGGCTTTCAGGCACAAGGACTTCCTGCCCATCCCTGGGACACCCCGGTCCCCACACAGCAGCCGTCACCCTCCTTGGCCAGACGCAGCCTTGCCCACCACGGCTGGCAATGAGGCTGCGCTTGCTCCGCGCCAGACCAAAGACCAGGGCAGCTGCTGCACGGCCGGGAGCTTCCCGCCTCCCACCATGGGCTGGCCCTGTGGCATGTGCTGTCTCCTAGTTTAGGGCAGGCCCATGTGGCCTGCAGCCCCTGGCACAACAGGCCCTTTCATTCCAGATGGTGGCTGGGGTTGATTTTGGGATGCTTCACTTGAGAGGACAGAAAGGTCAGGAGGAACAGAGAGTGACTAATGTAATGCTAAAGCAGCAGCTTCAAGCTCCTGGGTTAATATTTACTGCTGAAACTGGAGGAGTTGAGAACAGAGTGTGCAGCTCAGCTGTTTAAGAAATGCCCTGGAAATTATGCAATGGCGAGAGAGCTCGGAGACACTGGGAGAGGGTGACAAGCAGCTACAAGGTGAAATGTGTATGGCAGCAGATGTGCAAGAGCTGGAATCTCACTGCCATCCATGATGGCTGGAGGAGTCAAACCACTTACACAGAGAAACTCACACCAACAGAAGGTAACTTAGTGCTGGAAGGCACAGCAACACCCTGGCTAACATGGGGAGGGGAGATTATGGAACCCAGGAGCAGAGGGTTAAGGGCAACAACCTAACGGGCAGCAGGTTTTGGATAATTTTGTCTCCTGCAGGGCCCAGCACATCCCTTCTGTCTCCACAGAGAATGTAACAAATGCCAAAAACCGTTCACAGGATACTGTTCAAATGAAAACCAAATTAAACACATCATGGGAAATGGAGAAACATGCAGCATCCCAAAACGTAATGGGAGTAGCATGACAGCACAGGCAGGCAGTCCAATCTGAATGCACCACCCCGTTAGAATCCATCAGCTTTTTGAACCGTCTGCAAAACTGAAAACAAGGGTCTCCTCCTAATTAGTGTTAATTTGTTAGAAGTTTCCAAATACTTTCAAAATGTGCCTTTGCAAGAATCACACCCCCCAACCCATCACCCCAAGGGCCCCAACAACAGAATCCATTCCTGATCACTGCGAGAGTCATGGTTTATCTTCAGAAATACTTGGTTTCTTCCTTCTTATTCCTCTTCCTCCTCTTCTTCCTCCTCTTCCTCTTCCTCATCATCATCTTCATCGTGGCAATGTGTGATTTCCTGAGGTGCCTGGGGGAAGAGGTTGGGCGGTTTGATCTCACTGATGGAACGGGTCAGTTGGTGCCGCTTGTAGTCGGAATCTTTGAAATCCACCGAGGTGCGATTGCGTGTGGCCATCGGCGACTCCTTCTCATTGATGTCGACGTGCGTGTGCTCTACTGTGGACTCGTGTGGCATCTGCACATGGAACAGAGAGAGGAGGTGACAAGGGGTGTCCCAGCCCCAGGCTGCCTCCCTGAGACACATGGAGAGCAAACCCCAGAATGTGACCCTTTGGTCTACAGTCTATCCACTGCCACCAAACCCTCCAAGGAGCTGTTGTGTCCTGTGGAAGTGATAATGGACACAAGCGTGGGCACCTTTGGGACCCCTGCCCACCTCCCTGGGATTGGAACTCACCAGAACGTGGGCGGCTCTGAAGAGGTAGCTGAAGGGGTAGTAGAGGAGGTTGATGAAGGAGGCTGCATAGAGGTCGGCGTAGCGCATCACCTGGCTGGCAAAGAGCGTCTGCCGAGAGCCGCTGCGGAAGAGGCTCCCCATCATCCCGTAGCACATATCCATGTCGTGGGTCACTTTCTGTGAGGAAAGGACAGGTGAGATCCTGGGCCAGGCAGGCAGTACCTCAGAGCTACAACACTGAGGCTGAGTGCCCTGAGGGCTGGGGGCTACGTGAGACTGCAAGGATCTCCAGCAAGGCTTTCTGTGCTTGTATCCCATGGCATCAGGGCACAGCTGAGCCCCAGGTAACAGAAAGGAAGGTGGCAGCAGGCTCAGGGCCAGCACTGCCCTAGGCTGACACCCCAGGGCTGGCTGAACCAGAGGCTACAGCCCCTCTGAGCCTGTGTCTGCCACTGCCACGTGCTGCAGCAGTGAGCACCCTCAGCCAGTGCTGCTTGTAGGCGTGAGGAAAGGGACCCTATTCCAGACCAGGCTGCCTTTCAGGAGAGCCAGTGACACCAGTGAACTGAGACAAAGTGGCTTTGCCAAGCCTGCTGTGCCCACCCAAAGGCAGAGCAAAGCATTTCAGGACTGAGCAGTGGCGTTGGGTTGTTAAGCCCTTTGGGATCCAGAAGGATGAAAAGGGATTTTGATGATTGGTACCTTAATGCGTCTCTGGATGGAGCTGATGTCGGGGCGTTCATTGCTGCTACTGTCCAGATGCCTAGTTACAGGCGAGAAGGTAAATACATGGTGTGAAAAGTCTTTCAGAACCAGATGCTGTGGGATGGGGCTCGGGGGAGGGAGGCTGGTCTGGAGGGGAAGGTTGGTCTCACGGGCAGAGCCCAGGCCTGAGTTAAGGCGCCGGCAGCAGTGCCGCTAACCCAACCCCAAGGTTTTGTCATTGCTGCTCATTAGATGGGAGAGGCAGCAGGAAAGTTGTCACTGTTCGAACACTCACTTGTACAGCTCGGCCAAGAAAATGTCCAGACTCTGCAGCTCTTCAAAAAGGGCTGGAAAATCCAGAAAAGAAAGGGGAAAAGGGTAAGTTTAAACTGTTGAAATGGAAAGTGCTGAAAGTGAATCCAGTCCCCTGCCCATTCCCTTTGCATGGTGGCAGAGGGACACTGGAGCAGGGACACTGGAGACATCTCATGGCCTCTGGGCAAGGAGCGGGGTCAATCATTCTGTGCCATGGGTAGAACTTTGGGCTTGGTTTCTGGTTGGCCCTTTTGTTTTCGAGGCTGAACCTTTGCAGCTCTCACCAAAGCCTTCCAACCAGCCATGGGGCAATTTGCGTAACCCCCAGCCCTATTTACACACCAAAGGGCAAACCTGGGAGAAAAGCAGGAGTGCTGGAGGATAGGAAACACACAGCACTTTGGCAGCAGAGCAGCAGAGGGAGTGGGAGGAACGAGGAGGAAGCAGCTGGTGAATAGGGACTCCCTGCAGATGGGAGAGCAGTCAGGGCTCAGGCATTACAGGGAGAATAACCCAGGCCTTGTCAGATATTTTTTAACACAGAAGCCATGGCTCCATATGTGAAGAGGGAGAGGATGTTCTGGGGTTATTGATGAGGAACAACTCAACCCCACCCAGCTGCAACTTCTCTCGCGGCCATGACAGCATTTGGCTGATTACACACAATAGCCTGGGAAAGAGCACAGGAAAGCCCTGGGACCCCAAGGCCAGCCCACAGAGAGGCACCCCAGCTCCTGCCACCAGCATCCAGACCCAGTGAAAAGGGCCAAAAGGAGAAGTGGCAAGCCAAGGTGATCTCTCCCCTGCACCCCTAAGCCCTGGCGATCTCAGGGGTGCAGCATCAGACAAGCAAGAGCAAAGCCTGGCCAGGGGCTTGCCCGGCTCCTGACCGCTTTTGTCTGTCCAGACGTGCAGCTCCTGCGCCAGCTCAGGGATCACCAGGAAGGTCCGCCAGCCCTGGCGTTTCTTGGATTTGAGGATGTCTCCAAAGATATGGTCTCCGATGTACAAGATATCCTTCCCTTTGGCCCCCAGCAGGTCACAGACTGTGTCCGAAGAGCCTGAGAGAAGAATGGCATGGCTCAGAACAGTGAGCCAAAACAGCTCCTTAGCCATGGCTGCCCTGGACACTGCTCACCTGCCTGGGAGTTCACCCAGGAGCAGCTTTGCCTATGCACACCCCTACATGAACGGCAGCAAGAGAGGCCATGCTGCCTGCCCTGCCATGTGAGAGTAATGGAGCCCTGGGTGTCACAGACAGTTCTGTATCCACCCACTGCCCTTCCCTGGCTTGGCAGAACCTTCCAAGCGTGTCCACACTGGTGGCAGCACCTTGAAATACAGCTGGGGACACTGCACTGGGCCAGCTGCAGCCACCCCTCCACCACAAGCCCTGCAGGCATTTCCCAGACCCTCCCTGGCAAGGAAGAAAAGGACATTTGAGGAGGAACAGGTCCATCTGTCCTGCACTGTGCAGCTCTGATCACGGAGAGCTTCTGGTGCAGTGTGCAGAGGGCACAAACAATGCACTTTGGGAAGCACAGCCTTGCCTGGCACAAGTCCTCTCACAGCTGGAGTGCCTGAAGGCCACATCAGAGCCACTCCACACAAAAAGAAGGGCTCCTGCCTCACCTCCCGAGTACACAATGCCGTGCTGCAGCGGGCCAGTGTAAGTACCAATCTTCAGCTTCCCGGTCACCTGTGGAAGGAGGTGCTGTGTTAGTGCTGAACAGCTGATGGTCTGACCTTTCCTATATTGATACCATTGATACGTCACTCTTTGTCTGTCTGTCTCACTCCCAAGCAGCCCAGAGGTGGCTTTCCTACTGTCACCTGCAGTATTTTAGGGAAGCCAGCAGAGCCTTGAGGTGATGGGGTTGCTCAGGAATCACTAAGTGGAGACTCCAGCCCACAACCTCTAGGGTAGGTCCTGTTCAAACACTGCATTGCCCATTGTCACTGAGAGATGCCACGCAGGAGGTGCAAGAGCCCTTCCAGCCATGGAGGTACCCTCCACTGAGCACTCACCGTGTCCACCTGCCGCAATACAGTGCCTTCCCCAAAGAAGAGGGGTTTTCGTGCATCCACCAGGATCAGGTCGAAGTAGGACTGCCATGGCCGATGGGCACTCCCGGGCTACAAAGGCAAAAACAAACCCCAGAATCAGAAACAACACACATAACCACACAGAGTTTAACTGGAGTGTCACTGTCCATAGCCATAACCTTGTGACATTGCTGGTCCATCAAAATCCCTTAGCTCACACCTCCCGTGGGACAATGCTGAGTTGCCAGCACCATCTCTTAAAGCATTCCCCTTTTGCCACAAGTTCATCCCATCCCAGTCCTAGCAGTGGACGCTGAGGCCATGGTGTGGGACAGGAGAACAGCACTGAACATCCCTGTCAGGGCACAGCTGCCACGTAAAAAGATGCTGTAAATGACACCCTGCCACTGTTCCTGAAGGTGACATCCCGTGCAGATCCAGACACATGCAACTCCACAGCTTCAGCTTACAAGGCCATGCTGGTGCATTTGCCAAGAGTGGGAAAATGCCTGGACTCTATTCCACAGAGCACAGCTTTCAAAAGAGCCCTGCCCAAAGGATATCGAGCCCTTTCTGCTCCATGTTTCTGCACTTGGTGAGATCAAGACCACAGCAAGGGGCTTCTTTAGCTATCAATTGTGGTGAGTGTGCTCTCAAAATTTCCCTCTTGGCTGCCTTCTGCTTTTAAAGCAGTGTGAGAGCACATCTTTTGAACATGAGATAGCCTCTCACTGGGAGGCTGAAAGAGCAGTATAAATTTGTGTCATAAACCTTTCTCCAAAAGTTGCAGGGCTGAGTCTTGGCCTCAGGAGAAAAAAAAAAAAAAAAAAAAAAAAAAGAAGCACAACTAAAACTTCTGGAGTTAAGATAATTAATGCAAAATCAGCCATAAATGTTTCTGCTGTTTTATAAAATTATCTCCTTCCCATCATGGCTTTTTTGAACAACATCTAAACCACTGTGCATGATTTCTAAGAAATCTGTCTACAAAATGCCACAGCTGAAACGTTTTATCACTGAAATAATGTTATCATTAACACAGATTATCATTTGAGACTGGATGATGCCCCTTTTCTCTTTGTCATATTGCATTTGCTTTGATCCCATTCAAACAGACATAAACCAGCAAGTGCATTTTAACCAGATTAAAGCAACTAATCCCATGCAGCCAATGAAGCAGGATTAAAACGCTTTCCAGCTACACAGATAATTAGACACATCAGTGTCTACTGCAACTGCAGAATTCACATACCTTTGGTCCATGTGGAAAGTCAAACAAGTAAGTCATAATTTTCTAAAAGAGAGAAAGAAAGCCTTAAAATATGTACTTTTAGACATGCATTTGTGTAGTTTATAGAAGCATGCTTTTCTAACTTTATCTTTTCTGATTACATAACTTTAGAATTTACACTGAAGTCAGCATAAGATTTGGAGACAAAATGAATGGAAGAGGACAATGACAGGAATCAAACCAGTAGTTTTTATAATCAAATAACACAGTTACCTCAGAAAACTGCACACTGCTTAAGGCATATCTTGCAATGCTTTAAAATGGCATATAAATCTTTAGATTAGCAGCATTGCAACATCCTGCCATCCACCTGGAGTTGGAAATAACCATGTTTATTTCTCAGCTTAGCAGACAGACCTTTCTGGGTCTCAGACCTCTCCAGGACCTTGGTTTGGTGACCGTCTGTACTCAGACTATCTATCTCACTTGAAAGGGAAAGTCTGCATTTTAAAGGATGCTAAAATCCAAGACTGAGTATCACTTTCCTTTACAGCCTTTTAGTTGCTGAGGAACTGAGTGAAGCACAGAGGGACTTAAACCAGGCCTGTACCAGCTCAGCATCAGAACCAGGATGGCAAAAGGTGACTCAAGGCTTCATCTGCATCCCCCACTAACCCATCCTACACGTAGATTAGAAAACACACGATTCTCCACCAGAAGATGTCCCATCAAAACCCATCCAAATGACTGGCTGGCTTGTGCTTATTCCATGATATACCAACCCAACAATTCAAGCAGCACTTACGTCTGTGTATTTATAGTCGCTGTTTGTGACCAGAAACACCTTTCCCACTTCATTCATGCGGCTGAGCAGCAGTGGCAGCTTCCCCTGGAAGCCAAGGGGAACATCCAAGTCACACACAAAAGTTACATACATGCATCATGGAAAAAACACTCAACTATCATCCCACCAGACAAAAAAAAAGGCAAATCAAACCATCGAGCAAGCAAACTCACGTGTTGTGCACTGGCCAGAGCCAGGAAAGCTGCTGGTCCATCCAGGTAACCCCTCCAGAGCACAGCCCAGGGGAGGAAGGCGAGGGGGAAGGGCTCAGCAGGGCTGCAGTGCCTTTGCCAACCACAGTGCCAGGCACCCTGTGCTGCTCCCACCGATCTGCTCCAGCTCCAAGTCCGTTCCCGAAATGGGCCCAGAGGCAGGTGAAATCTGAGCTCACGAGCCACAAGTTGGAACGCATTATAATTCCAACCTCAAATTAGGGAGAATTTATTCCTGGGGCTATTTTTATTGAATCTGAAATCTCAGTCCATTGCCAAAATAGCTGATTACCTCACTGAACACTTACCTAAGAATTCTGTAGGCGTGTAACTAGAAACAAGGTTAACTGCTTTAAAGTGATAATCTACCACAGAGCTCATCTAAACTAAAAAATACTTACTCCATAAGTGGTCCTGAGAGGCCTTGCACACTGCAGAGATGGCAGGAGTAAGGAAACCACTGGAGCTTGCTCAATTAGATGTGCTGAACACACATTTTGAGGTTCTCAAGACACTAAACACTGGTGAGTCTTTCAGGATCTTTCCCTCAGTCCCTTATGGTTAAGTGTAACTTTCTTGTCATGTGGCTAAAAAGATGCTCAACTGTTGCTTTTTAAAGAGAGGTTTGCTTGGGCAGAAAAACATGGGCAGGGAACACAGTTGCTTTCACCACTGAAAGAAACAACATGAGCGCTGCCAGTGTGTTCACCTTGATAACATTTCCTCTGGCTTTTATATTTTACATATAAAACTGCGCACATCAATACACAATCATGTGGGTCACTGGCTCAGAATAAAGGCTGCATCTGAACCTTCCACTTTGTCTTTGGTTATTACAATAGAAATCACAGCGTTTTTGTGATTTAGTAAAGCAAATCAGCATGTTTATTTCTTGCCTGCTTAGTCAGTACTGAATAGCACAAGTCAGTCACATAGCACAAGTAAAGTAACTTCACACTTACATCTTTCACCACGTACTTCTCCAGATTCTCAAGGGTCTTTTCCTTAAGCGATCCCTGAAATAGAAACAACAGGACCCAGTGAGGTCATGGAAACTTATGATGTAAGAGACAACAAAGTAATGCCAACTTTCACACTTTAAAATGCTGTGAAAGTACAAACCAGGGCGAATCTGAACCAGTGATTCTAGAGATGAGAGGCTTTGAGTAGCAGGGACCATCACAAACTCTGTGATCCATCGATTCCCTCACCATGGTAAATAATCCACTTCAACAGCATTTTAACCCTTTCAGAAGGGAATACAATAGAAACAAACAAAAAATAGATTTGCCATACCAAACAAGACAGTTAACGACCTGTCTCCAACACTGACCATAATGCTTTAGTCAAAGGCCAACTCCAACATGTATCACACAACACTGCATAAGGAAAGAAAAATAGATTCCTGACTTCTGCATGGGTAAAAGGACCACCACAACTACAACTGTGAGCAGAGTTCTCCTGTGATGGCTCTCCATCCCACCCAACAGACTGCTTGAATGAGGGAGAACAAGAAAATCAGGTCTTTAACCACATGCTAATGCTCACAAAATTATATTCTAAATTTGTGCACAAATGTGTGCAGAGGATGAAATGCTTTTCTCTAATTAGAGAACAGCTGGTCTATTTCTCTCTTTAATGCCAGTACTTTTTAGACAACACAGCATAGTACCAATGTAAACAATTTGCAGTAGAATATTGCTTTAATAATTAGGACAACATACAAGTTGTGGACTTGAAATGCAAATACCCTCATGGCATCACACTCTAAAACCCATGAATTACAGTACAAAAATTAAATCTGGCCACAATAAAAAGGAATAGGAAGCCAAGCCAGATATGTTCCCATACTAGGAGGGCAGCTGAGATCTTACTCCCATAAAATTGCAATTTATTGTTTGCTCACTAGGCGGCAAAGCAGGGCCCTTGCCCAGAGCAGGCAGAGAACATCTGAACTCAGGAGTTCCAAACCAGCCCCTCCAACCCAGTTACAACCACACACATCCCATGGAGTTCTTGCAGTCACCTTGTAATGAACCCAGTCAACAGCATCTCTGACATCCTGGAACATACTCCTGAAGGACATGAAGAGGTCTCCATCCTTAAACCCTGTCTCACAGCTGTGAGGAGACAGAAGAGAGATTTCAGCAGTCAGTCACAGTAGGTAAGAAACACAGCAAGGAGCAAGACAGCTCAAAATGCTGTTTGGAGCTTGTGTTTTCTTCTTACCAACAGGGTTTCTTATCTATTCTTATCTTATTCTTATCTTACTTTACTGCAGCTCAGGCTTGAAAGAGGGCTACAACTGCAGTTTAACAGGACCAGGAATGTCTGTGCCTCCACAGCAGTACCACAGCTTTCTGAGGCTGTAACTCTTACTTCTCATCCACATTACAAGAAGGTAAAAAGACTGCAGAAAACTACAAAAATGCCATTTGCAGCATTTAACAGAAGATGAATGGTACTGAGGGAATAAACAGAGTGGTGCTCTTTCTCCCTCCTTCCAGCACTAAAGAAGGGAGAGTCATGGAAATCAACTAAATGTAATGTTGCTTAAAGGAGGAACTTCTATGTTGAACACTTAGAATTAACATTAGAAATTACAAGATACTCTGGAGGCATCTTTGAGACAGCATGACAGCTTGCATCAGAAGAAATCAAGAAGGATTACACAGAGCTGTATTTATTATGACAGCAATCATCATGCCTCTCCTGAGAAAAGGTACTTCACCTGATGGATTGCCAGCATAAACAGTTCCTCTGCTCCCAGGTGAAATCACATTAAACCTTTGCCTTCCACTCACATATATGCAAAGATGACCCACCACATGAGGTGATGAGCAGCACAGCAAAGTTCTCATTTGCCAGTTCAAACCACAGCATGTTTTTATATTTATATGTTTTTGACAGCAAGGTAATTACTCATGCTGCACAAACAGCCTTTTATACCACACTGAGCACTTCACCTCTAAGTGTGCAGTGTTCTTTATTACAACATGAAGCACTTGTGGTAACTGGCTGAGGAAATTCAGCCTTTCAGTTACCAGTTCAGACATGGCTACAATGGACACAGGTTCAAAATGAACTGAATGGTGCCTGTAATCACCCTGGAAAAAGTGTGCAGCCCTAGACACTGCCCCAAATACCAATGTCAGTCAGTATGCTGGTTCTGCTGTACCCTGTGAAGGAAACCTTCAGCCTCTGCTGTACACACAAATCAACGTAGCACCACAAAATTATAGGAGGCCCACCAAAACCACTTGAGGTTTTGATATTAAGAGCAGCTCCATCTGTGCTGTATTGCTCTTGTATAAAATAATATCAATCTTCTTGTTCCATCACATCTCAGAGTGGAGGGAATACAAACCTCGTGTACCGGTCACAGTTAGTAAAGAAATCCACCAGGCAAGCCAACAGGTAGGTCTCTGCAAGGAAAGAGATTGTAAGACAAAGATAACATCATACAGCCAGCTAACTTTAGACCTTGTGCCAAAAGGAAGAAAATTCATGCAAAAAAAACCCAAACAGAAAAGCAGAGTACAACATCAGCAAAGCTTTATTAGCTTAAAAGGCACAGAAAGAGGCCTGTGCTGGCTCACAGACTCACCTGGTAGATTGAATAACGTGTTCAAAATGTAAAACCTATCTGTGTCATCCCTCTGGATAAATTTATTTGGATATTGCTCCCGTGTTTCAGGCCTGAGAATAAATAAAGTGGAGAAGAGTGAAACCACAAAACATAAAGAAGATAAAATGTGCTGACCTGCAAAACGGAGCTGTAGCAGGGTCCACTAACCAAAGTCTGCTGTGCTTTAATTAACACCCAGCTTCCCCACATGCACTGTTGGCAGAAGAGCAAAAGTGCATCCAGGGGTGTTCCCTGGGCTGTGCTGACTCCAGCAGAGGCAGGACCAAGCCCTCATTGCTGGGTCAGCAAACAGAGCCCACCCAGGGACACAGAGTGGTCCAGAGTCCACAGCTCGACCTTAAGCCCCATGCTGCTGGCTAGGAGGATGCTTTAAATCATCTGCACTTCCATTGTTTGCTTATCTTAAACTCTTCCCCACTTTCCATGTGTTGCTCTTCACTCTCCCAGCAGCTCTCAGCCAGGGGTGTGCAGGGCTCTGCTGCAGGAGGTTTGTGTGGGGCCCTCTGCAATTCATCAGCAGGGTGGCAATGACTGAACTCATATCATTATTCTGGTCTCCCTAATTTCTGGAGCTACTGAAGATCATTTTAGGTTCAAAGAGGAACTTGAATGCACACATAAGGGCTTTTTTGTAAATTCTGGAGTCCTGACGTGAGGACTTAGAGGCCTGCAATGACAAGGTTTGTCACCCTGGGGCCCCTGAGCTTGCCTTGCCTTCCACTCATATGTCCTTGCAGCAGGAATGTGGGAGTGGGGATTTGCTGGGACACATCAGGAACATGGCACTGCAGTCCTCTCTGCTTCCTAAAGCACCTTCTCTGGGACAAGAAACACAAGCAGCCAGGGAAGGCTGCAGGAAATGGCGTGCAGTGCTCAGTTCTGACACCCTCAAAGGTCAGAAACACCAAGGGGCAGCGCAAGATTGTTCCTACCCCAAACCAGCTCAGGCCCTCAAACTTTCTTAACAATGGCTGAGCAGCTGACAGTCTCATGGGGCACAGGCCTCATACAATGGCTTTGTCTTGACTGACAAGCTGCTGACACTAAACTGTGCCAGGACAGGTGAACGACCCCTGGATGATCCCATCAACTCTTCCCCACAGCACACTTTCCTCTATTCCCAGCTCGCTACGGATGTGCCTGTGGTGGCACATCCTGTAAATATCTGTTTACAGGTAGCCCCTGTAAACATCTGGGCTGTTTCTGAGACCCTCAGTTCACCCACAGCTGATCCTGGAGCTGTAGGAACACCAACACAGCCTCTGCTGTTAGTAGAGTCCCTGTGATTCCACAGACTGGAGCTGATCCTGGAGCTCAGAGCCACAGCCTCTGCTGTTAGTAGAGTCCCTGTGATTCCATATACAATGGGTGCCCTGAGGATCATTGACACAATAGAGTGTATTAAGTCAAAAAGAGCAGCCAAGAGTCTGCACTCACCCTCTGAGGAAATTAAAGCCATGTGCACATACTAGGAGGTTCCCATAGGCATCAACTTTCAGCAGGTTTCCATAGTGGGTGTCAAACACCAGGCCTCTGTTAAGAAAGCAATGTAGGATATGAAAAGGCAAGTGCATTAAGGGGTGACCATTTTAACAGCAGCTAGAACAGCTCTAGAACAGCTTTGCTCACTTGGCATGGGGCACCAGAACAGAGCTGCTGTTATGATCCAGGTGGGCTCCCTACTGCCCCTTTTAGCTGTCAGCAGGTGAGCAACCAGAGCCCAGCACCAGCAGAGACACCGGACCTGCTCCCCAAAGTGTTTAACCTGAGAGCTCAGGGGAGCTGTGAGCCTCTTCCACAGGGTCACAAACGTGACACCCCTGTCGGCTGCAGGGAACAGTGAGGTGTGATAAAGGAATTTCTCTCTGCCTTTTCATGGCTCTGTCACAGACAAAGCCAGATGGGGCATGTAACCATGGCACATTACTTTGGACATGCCCGGTTCTGACTCTGGCAAAACTCTGTTTCATTTATCTAGCAGTTTGCATCTGGCAAACACCGCCTTCCCACAGAGATTTCCCTTCTGTTCCCTCCCTGGGATGAAAGTAGTGGATTTAACAGAGCTCTCATCACAGGTTTGTGAGGGGCTATGCCTTGTTACAGGCACGGCCAGCAGCAACTCTTAGGTGTAAACATGCTGAGAGGAGGGAAGGAAGGAGGCTGCCAGACTGAAACTGGAACAAACAACAGACCCTCTGGTCCAGTCTTTTGTAAAGGAACTCCAAAGGAGTCAAAGAAGCAAAATCCAGCAAAGGCACAAGTGGAATGAACTTGAAGGTGCAGAGTTAGATCAAAAGCTTT